TTCACTTGCTGAACAATATTGGAGGTTTCTTTGTACCACAAATTAAAATGTCTCGGTCGTCAGAACCAAATACTGCAAACAGTTGAACCGTGTCATTTAACTGATTATTACACCAATTAAAGTGCGTTATATTGTTATTCTTGCCAGCAGTGCAAATTGTTACGTGGGCTCTGCGCTATCTTACAACAACAAACGAAACGGGTCAAAACCAAGTATGGAATCCTGTGGGAATGTACGGATAATAGGGGAATGTCAATTTGGCCAAATGAATTGGGTCTTTCCATGCAGAAAGCGTAGTAGGAATAACATTTCTGCAGCTTGTTCCATATTCACATTTAATAACTTAACTGCATTTTCGAAAGTGCTTCTACTCTGATAAAAAAAAAATAGTTTGTTCTGAGAACTTGATGTAGACTGGCAGGGAAGGGACATGCTAGCAGCAGCAGCAATCAACACATCTATCTAGCAATTCAGATTTTTTTAAGTGTTGCAAATGTGAATGTTGCCACTTATTCTCGTAGGTCTGAAAGCTTCTTGAAACTCCTTGAAACTCCTTTAATGTAGTGCTGCAACGCTGAACAATCACAGAGCACAACTTGGACACTCCGTAAAATGCAGGTTGCCTCCCTACCTTTCTGTATCACAATAGTATGTATCAATTGTGCTTTGAGATGAGGTTTGATTTTCTTCCAATGCTGGATGATGACTGCGACACACCGTTTACGGTCATGGGGATTTGTTAAGGTAGGTGTTCAGGAAAAGTTCACATTGCACTAACGACTGGTGTTAGTAATAGTGAAGAATCAAACGCAGTTGTCAGTGTATTAATAAAATAAATAGGTAATCAGTGGTTAAATTTCGATTTAAAGCTTTCGTGACTGCAGGGATTCATCTTCTTGGTTCTTTCGGTAAAGTCACGTAGAATGGAAATAATAAAATAATAAAAATAAAACATAAAATAATTCTCACGACATTTCGGCCACAACGCAAGCAGCCGTCCTCATGTGGAGAACAGGTCTGTCGAGAAGAACCAAGAAGAAGCAATCAGTGCTTCCCATATTTGTCTCCCCACATCACGCCTTCTTTTACGTAAGCCATCGGCTACATGGCCTGCTGAGAGTGTTAATTTATCAACAGCATTGGTTCATCTTCTTGGTTCTTTCGGTAAAGTCACGTAGAAGGGAAATAAAAAAATAAAAAAATAAACATAATAAAATACAATTCTCACGCATTGGTTCAATACAAGCAAATGCTGGGCTGGAATCAACTTTCATCGGCTCATCAGCATAGTCAAATGTAGATTTGAAGCTTTCGTGACTGCATGTCTTCAGCAGCGTCATGGTTATTTGAACCAAAGCTGGTGAACTGCCTGGTAATGGTGATTTCTTTCGGGCTGAGGTCATGATTTTTTTTTTCTTTCAAACAAGTGACAATGTTATATCTTACATTGGCAGATTTATAAAGAAATATGAATGAACGCAACTATTTTCAATATGAAAATGGCTAAGCACCATTATACCATAGAGAGCTTTGAAAAACAAGGAAGACAAGCCACGTATTATGATACATGTTAAGTCAAATTCTGGATTTGCGAGTTTGAAAACATTCAGAAACATAAACAATAAAATAATAATGTTTTATATTTTTATTATTTTATTGTTTCCCTTCTACGTGACTTTACCGAAAGAACCAAGAATATGAATCCCTGCAGTCACGAAAGCTTTAAATCAGAATTCAGAAACATGTTACTTATGTATTTATTACGAGGTCACAAGTCTTACTGCTGACCTTGATGAGCATGGTAAATGCATTCAATCAATATTTTAAATATTATAAGAGAAGTCTGTTTACATGAATCAGCATACTGGTTATATTTCGATTTCCATACATCAATTGATCATCCAATATTTATTTGTGTATAGCCCCTTTCACGAAAGGAAGTGCTTAACAGAAAGAAAAAAAATATTGTGATTAGGCACGTAACGATGCATTGATTCGGCATTTAAAATAGATTCTAGTGGTCATGATTCATGAACACTGAGAATAATGGGTTCGTTTGACCTCTGCAACCACAAGAGATGCTATTTTGTATACAAACATTTTTATTTTGATCATAATTGCTGAACACAGGGCCAAGGTGCCTAACATAGGCAATCGGCCAGCTCGAAGCATCACTAAGTCGTAACAAACAACAGTCACCACTTTTATTCATTTGCAAACTCATAAATGCTCGGTAAAAAAAATAATTATGAGAGGGAATTCCAAAGCCAAGCAGTGCGAGTTGACGAGGCAGAGAGAGACGTATATGTGATCTACTCTTTGGTTCTTTCGGTAAAGTCACGTATAAAGATAAAATAATAAATTAAATACTAGCATACGACGTTTCTATTGCAACACAAGCAATCGTCATCAGGTATAAATGAAATAGAAACACAAATCTAGTATACTTAGAAATGTAATGTAATACAACAGAGCATCGGATAACATAACAGTCAACACCCTACCTGGTTGATTACGTTCTTTCTGAGAATGCTAAATTTGAGAGAGAGATAAAACACAGAACCAGAGACATATAGACAGACATATAAGCAGACAGATATCACAGAGATACATAGAGAGAGAACAAACATAGGCACACAGAGGACACACAATTAACTCTGATGATGATTGCTTGTGTTGCAATCGAAACGTCGTATGCTAGTATTTAATTTATTATTTTTTCTTTATACGTGACTTTACCGAAAGAACCAAAGAGTAATTCCTGCAGTCACGAAAGCTCCAAATTAAGTTTTATATGTGACCTGCAGTGCGTGTGGTTGGTGGTTGAACGCAGTGCGGCTTGACGTGGGTTGATGGGGCAGAACCAACGGTAAAGTTCACATGAACAGTAACCAACAGCGATGGACGAGTGATAAGTAGGCGACTGACTGCCGGTGAGCGAGTGTCTGGAGTGAATCTCACGAGTGCTGAATCATCAATCAACCAGACCGCTTTCTATTGAATCATCCACTAGCGTTCACCACAATGTAAAAAAGAAATGATATGTTCTTGAAACGAATTGTGACCTTGACTGGTAACAATTAATCTAATCGCGAATGGGGCGAATATAATTCTGCAGGTCACTTTTTCACAAACAATAGCTGCTTCGGGATGTGCGTATTTTCTCAACTACACACGTACATACACAAGGTGGGGGTTTGTTACGATGCATTGATTTTTATTGATTTATAAGCTCGTATTTATGAAACAGTTTTTTTCGATACGTGTATGGAATGGGTTAATGTGGCTGTTACATTCACTGAAACGGTCTTATTTTTAGGAATCAATTCTCAAAAGGTAATGCAACTAATTCATTAATTCAAGGGCTGGTGGTGAATTGCTGCATCCACGTGTTACATTTACGCTAACATTTCTCTTTGCAAAACATTCCATGAGCTGATTATCCTGCATTTAATCAAATATGTCAAGTCGTATTTGTTGTGAGTAAGTGCATTGCTCGTTTTTTTGCTTTGTTTTAATGATGGTACGCATTGAAAAGACATACCTTCTTGAATTTGATAAAATTACAATGCGTTTCCTTTATTAGTACTCAGGTCATGTACGTGTGGACAGTCTTATTCGTAATTAAGCAATAACACATCTTTTAAGGTCAAAACTAGCTTTTTTTGGTCAACACATTACAAATCTACTCGATAAATAGATTGCTAAACATATCCACTGTAGCCGATTCCAGTTATAAAATGGATATGCAGAGCCAAGATCTGTAAAATGAGTAAATTGAAAGTTGCAGCCCTGCAATTTATTGCTCACACCATTGCTGGTGGAAGAGCCCCTAGAAAGCACCACAGAAGCTATGTTGGCCTACTCCTCCATGCTAGTCAATATTTGGCGAGATGATATACAGGAGATCGTGGGTCTGGAGTTTGCGCGTTCTCCCCGTGGTCGCGAGGATTTTCTCCTCGGGTCCTCCGGTTTATTTGGCTGCTAAAATTTTCCACATTTTGACTTAAGACTTTCGTGACTGCAGGAATTCACATTCTTGGTTCTTTCGGTAAAGTCACGTAGAAATCATCGAAACTAACGAGCAAATCACCTGGGGACAGTGAGACGTCTTTAATTGACGAAACCAGGTGATTTTCTCGTTAGTTTTGATGACTTCTATCTACGTGACTTTACCGAAAGAACCAGGAAAATAATTTTCCACGTGATAAGTCCCTTCATTGATCTATCATCTGTGGCCAGGCCGCTTCTGAAAAAGAGCTTTATAGTTCACCGTATGTATTCATATTCTTAGGTTTTTGGTAAAGTCACGTAGGTAAAAAAATTTAATTAATAAAAGTAAAATAAAATAAAAATCACGACGTTTCGGAGGCAACACAAGCTTCCGTCTTCAGGTGGAACCGTCACAGCACAACAGCTTTTTTTTTTTACTTGATACAGCGAGCGTGCTGTGACGGTTCCACCTGAAGACGGAAGCTTGTGTTGCCTCCGAAACGTTGTGATTTTTATTTTGTTTTACTTTTATTAATTTTAATTTTTTACCTACGTGACTTTACCGAAAACCTAAGAATATGAATACTTGCAGTCACGAAAGCTTCAAATCTAGAATCACCGTATGTATGTTGAATTTATTTTGCACCGTACGTAGCCAATCGTGCTAATCGGAGGTGCAGTTGGCCTTACCTGTTAAAATAAAAAAGTGAGTTCGTCTTGTCAGAGGTGGGAGTACTCACACTCTGCCCCATCACATGCAATCTGTTAATTGACTTAATCTTGCTGAACCTAGTTATGCTGCTGGGATGACTGAGGCGGCAGAGGATTTTAGAAATTTGCATCGTTGTTTCAACTGCCTCACAACCCGGGAGATCAAACCTCTGCGACCCCTCGGTTGCAAGTTCAGAATGCTGATTATTACAATCACTCTAGCATCCCAGATCTGTATAAAGTGTTTATTGCGAACAGCCTAACTTGTGTTGTTGTTTTCTTTTTTGTTGTTGCAGTGAACTGTTTACAAGACATTATACAGAGACCCATTACTCTGACAATGGAACCCTCATAGAAGAATCGCCAAATTACGCGGTAAGTGCAATGCGATATCAATAGCAAACAACTGTCATTTATTCGGCGCTAAAATCGAGCAAATCAAAAAGTCTCGAAGCGCCGCACAGTCACGAGAGTGGGACTTGGACACGGGGCTGGGGGAAAGGGGTGGCCAGAGAGGGTTTAAAGCACGGTCAACGTAAGCTACGCATTAAGATGATTTGAAGGAGGGAAAGTGAGGAGGGCGAGCAAGGGGAGAGCTGAGGATGAGTGGGGAGTGAGTGCACTTGGCATGGTTTGGAGTAAATCACTCAAGGTGTGGGGGCCAGTGGGGGAGGCAGGATCATGGTAATATTTGTTCATTTTCACAAATATTTGTGTTAATATTCATAAATAAATAGTGTCTATTATTTTTTTTTTGGGGGGGGGGGGGTTAGGGGGTTCATTACAGTTGTATATGTTTTAAATAAAATATAGACTTTTAGTACACACTCATTAAAATACGATAATAATACTAATATAGAGTTCTTGATCAATTAACTGCTGGATCAAAGTCTCCCCATCCCCTGCAGTGTTGGTCATGAGGGTTGTTTGACCATACGTCACCGCACTGGTCTACGCGGGTTGGTGAAGAAAGTTGCAATCAGGATATTATTCGCCATCCATTGTCCGTGACTGGGAATCAACCGCGGATTGCTGGGTTGAGAGCACAGTGTGCTACCAAACCCCCACTTTCATGAATGATATTGTAATCAAATAGTTGGCATTGAACATATTTGTGTTTAGATGAATCTAAATCTTTATTGAATGTCTTTCTTTGTGGGACGTATTCATGGATCCAATTAAGTATACTGTATGCATTTTTCTGCTGACATAATTGTAGCATATTCAGCCTTTTATTGCTGCCATTTTCACTAAATTTACAGAGAGAATTCCTTCAAATATTCTAGCATACCCCATGCAGAATTCCAGTCGTGTAGTTTAAATATTATGTTCTTTTTCATAGCGAATCCTTTCAGCGCAGTGGCACCCCTCCAAGGCACTATCCCCCACCCACACGAATGGGCACACCACCGACCGACCGATCATGCGTGGTGGGATAAAGTGTGGGCATGCAAGAGTAGGCCCAAATACCCTCGAGAGGGGCTTTCCAGAGCTGTTTCCAGTGGAGGCCCCTTTCTTGCCAACAGCGGGTGCGAGCGAGCAATTGCAGTGCTGCACCTTCACCTTATACCATTTATTATGTTATTATCTCCAATAGGGTTCAGGTTCACTATGGGGACCTCATTTGCCAGTAAAAATATGATAATTGGTTCTTTACCCTTCTATCTGGCAACAAAACTGACACCTTTTTGCAAGGAGTCATGTTTGCATAGACCGCAATACCTGCAGTCATAATACAAACAAAAGAACATAACTCTGATAATCAGGGACAGTGCACATTATCAGAGTTATGTTCTTTTGTTTGTATTATGACTGCAGGTATTGCGGTCTATGCAAACATGACTCCTTGCAAAAAGGTGTCAGTTTTGTTGCCAGATAGAAGGGTAAAGAACCAATTATCAGGGTTCAGGTTAATTCACTCTCATTGTCCCTTCACACACTCATTATTATCCTTGTCCCATTTTACGTATTATATATATTTTTTTAAAAATACACATACAAAAACTAAAATTGTCTGACAGCTGCAGCCACTTGTCACAGATTTGATATGTTTTTGGCAGCAGAAAGACCTGGGGTTCGTTCCATTGGAAGCACAACTCATCTCCCCAGAATCCTAATTGGCCAGCTGCACTCTCTGCGTCAACACGATGTGTTGGAGCGGCAGGGTGGTACCGTGGTAACACTTTGTGCCTCGCAGCGGTCCAGGGACCGATTTCGTGGAAGACAATTTTTTCACGGAACGGGGGGGGGGGGGGGGTCATCATTGGGTCTTTCCCCCTTTTCAAAGAAGCTCTCCAGCGACGTTTGTGTTGTACTCATTTTGGCTAGGGGGCTAGAGCTTGTGGGCTTACCAACACTGTGACTGAGACAAGTGCGTAGTGCGGGAAAGAGGCGCGGACGGACGTGGTAAATAAAATCATAGGCGGGCCACGCGGTGACTTACCGCTAGGCCTCGGCAATGTAAGGTGAAAGTGTAAAAACAACGAGCCTACCTTTACCCTACCTTTTACCTTACCACAATACATTCACTCCACCCTACCTTTTACCCTTTAGCAGGTAGGGTAAAAGGTCAAAAGCAACGAGCCTACCTTTTACCCTACCCTTTACCCTACCTTTTACCCTACCCTTTACCCTTACCCCTTGGCATGTCGACACCTTTACCCTTTTACCCGGTAAAAAGAGTACAATTACCTTATCTTGCCGAGGCCTACTCACCGCTCACCTCCTGCAGTGCGGCCCGGTTCCTAACAGGGCGCGGACCGGTACCGGTCAGCGGCCCGGGGGTTGGACACCCCTGGTTTAGAGCATGTTCTCTCTCTATGATGCATTGGTTTTCCCCAGGTCCTTCAGTGACCTCCCACGGCTAAAATGTAACCGTACAATGTTTAAATGGTATTGGCCATGCATCTGAATGCTGAAAAGTTGCCCACAAATTAGTCTGTTTGGGATTATGACTTGCAACTTTGTCCCCTACTGCAAAAACACTCGGCATGAACCTTGTGAAAAAGTCTTGTGAAAAAGTCTTGAGACTCAGTGTTGCATTTATCGGGTAAGCCAACAGCGAGAAGATTCAACAATATTCACAAATCGTGCAGTACACTCAAATGCATATGTATACATTGTCACTAATCTCTCTCTATCAATGACAGTAACTCCGTTTCCTCGCTGTATTAAAATAAAACAAATGCAGCCGCTCTGATTGTTTATTGATTATATAATTCACTTGTTCATCAATTTGCCGCTTTAGTCTCTGATTTTCACATTACCGTGATGTTCTCAAAATGGGAAGGAAACAAAAACGAGTTCTTTTTTTCTTGTTCTTTCGTTGTTTTTTTTTTAACCTGTCCAATGTCGCCCCGCGTTAGGACCACTGCTACTACCACGGCCACGTCGACGGGCACGCGGACTCCGCCGTCTCCCTCAGCACGTGCTCTGGGCTCAGGTAGGAGGAGGGTTGAAGAGGAGAAGGAGGGGGGGAGGGGGGCACTGGTCGTGCACCCCAAAGCGCGAAGGGAATGCGGCGTGCTAAAGGGTTTCGCGAGGCGCCGGTGTTTGGCTGCAAGATTGAGCCCCCACCCCAGCGCCACGAACCGTTTTCCTCGCAATTTAATGAGAGGGGATGAGTGAAAGGGTAGAAAAGGGGGTCAGGTGGGGGGTGCGGTGGGGGTGTTGGGAGTCAGGGGAGTGTTGAGGTGTTAATAAGCTTGGTTGCCTTCTGGCTCGCGAGCATAATGTTAAGGGTGTCAAAGGCTGCACATGTGTTTCAGGCCCTAACAATGCTGTTAACGCCCTAAGCAAACTAACTGATTTCACCCTTCGTCCTGAGCCTCTCTTCAAATGCTCCAATACTCCCTGCGACAGCCTCTGTTCACGATTCCTCTCGGTCATCAAGGTGCTTGTTATCCTTTTCATGCAAATGTCATTTGGCTACCTGTAGTGATTTGATTAAAATGTTCTTCTCGCAGAAGGGGGCTGACTTTGCTGAAAGAAATAAAAAAGGGAGCATTGCATTTAAAAGCAGATGATTACTTGAGATTTTTTTTAGGTTGCACCAGAGAGAGAGAGAGAGTTCATTTTGAGACAGCAATGGAGGGCACAATCGGTCAGTTTGAATGTTCCAGAGTGTGCCCATTTCATGGCAAATTAAACAACGATTGTAGAAATATAATATGTTCAATTATCCATATTGGCCACAGCAGATGGGTCCAGTCGATCTTACATCAATCACATTGCCTGGCACTTTGGAGTTTCAAGTAGATCTTTACATTTGCGGAATAAAAAAAGTGAAACTGATGAACTACCACTACCACTGCATTCATTCAGAGCCACTAATTTATACTCAAGCGTTTAGTTTGTTGTGTGTTTCACTGCCTCCCTTGTGTTGCGGGTTTTCTTTCTGTTATGAGTTTTAAAAAAATGAAAAATTGCAATAACATGGCCGTGTTATGTGAAAATGCAATTCACTGTACACAGCTGCACGGAATCTGAGATGTTAAAGCTGTCGCATTGCTTATGAGACCGCACTGATCTCCCTTGGCTTGTGTGCTGCATGTCAGTTAGTGCGCTGCACCTGCAGCTCTGTTGTTGGAGACAAAACATCTGGTTTTACCGCATGAAAGCAAGGCCCTCGAACGCTTGGGATTACGCTTAACTATTAGCAGCCCTTACAGATGATCATAAGCAACGTAATCTTCATTATGTGTTGGAGTATTATATCAATACTGGTGGGATAAGTTTTGGGTTGAAAAATGTTGGATTTTGGGATAATTTTTACAACGTGAAAAAGTTTGCGGGTCTTGGCGACAACAAAACTGACGTCACACCCCCATGCCACGTGACAAAAACAGGTAAGTGACGTAATGTGACATCGTTTCCAGTGATGTCATACTTTCTTATCAATCTTTAAGAAAAAAAAATTCAAATCGTCTCAAATTTCATATCCGGACCCAATTTTAGATGTTTCTTTCCCAGAAAATTGGGAACATACTGTATACAGAAGTAACAAGAAGTTGTCTTGATGTTTGGAGTATGGTTCTAAACATACTGCAATACTTGATTTTAACACCTATTATTTTATCATCCACACTAATTATTGTATCATAACCCCTGTCACTGGTTTATCGAATATGATTACAGGATATAATATGTACACAAAGATAAGTGAGTTTGAGCAATGGGCCTGTTTCATTGTCAGTCTCGTATTATCATTCTCAACATGTTTTGATTGCCATGTGCGTGCATAACAAGAGCAATGGTGTGGTAAGGTTTCCATAAAGGCCCTAACTCAACATCAGCTATGGTCAATCCACTTCTCGATGAAGGCCTCCCCAAGTTGCCACGTCACCTTCCGTGATTCTGCGATGCAGTGATAGACCCAGCACCTGCACATGACCTAATTTCATCTCTCCATCTCTTGGGAAGACATTCCTTTCAGATGCATTCCATCTGTGTAATTCAAGATGAAAATTTGAAATTATTCATGCACCATTTCCCTTCTTCGTAGTTTAAAAGGAGTGATTGTGTAATTAGTACACTATCGAAAGGAAGAGATTCATTTATAAGTACTCTATACAGACAAAGACAAAGATCCCCCTTATAGCCTGAAACAGACTGTTGCAAGCACCTATAAAGGCCGACATGGCACACGAGGGGGTGGGTTGCCAACACCGCGCCCGGCCGCCTTTGCTTCCCCAGTGACGATGTTTGCACACTGCACCAGGTACTCATATAAGGCTTAGTGGACCTAGGGGAGGCCCATGACCTTTTCAGATAATCGACACTGGTATTGACCACGAGTGGGAATCGAATTCGGGTCGCCGGGTTCCTAGCGCAGTGCGCTAACCACTACACTACCGCTCCCCATACTCTACACAGAATACACACACACACGTACATGTACACGACGCATCGTATGTGTAAAACTGCACTTGATAGCTTGAAATAGATTGCCAGAGTTTAATTATTTCATTCATTGATTTTGCATTCATTATTTCCTGCGTTGCATTGATCAGCCCATAATGTGTCTAACGCTGCTTAGACAAAAAGACCTCGCTGGGCCAGTGTTTGCTACAAAGGCTGGCCAGAGTCGTATAGTTAGAGGGGGAAGAAATGGCACTCTTGATTGGCTTATTGTGCTCTTTCCCACTGTGAGAAAAGGCAGATTTGAACAAGCTACTCCAACACTTCCATTGAGTCTTGTATTGTCAATTATACCCATGTGTGTGTGGCAGTGGCAGTGTACGTCTGAACACCTGGGGTGCCATGGTAGCTCATGCACACGGTGGCGAGATGTTGACTACCTCGCCTGGTATACAGGAGCGCGTGGGTTTGATCCAAACCCTGGCGCATATATATTTGGAGTTTGCATGTTCTCCCCCGTGGTTGCGTGGATTTTTTGTTATCCAGGTCCTCCGGTTTTTCCCTCCGCATTTAGAAACGACATCACGCGTTTAGAGCAGGAGTCGGCAAACTGCAGCAGCTCCGGAGCCACATGCAGCTCTTTAAGGACTGTTACGTGACGTTATTTATTAAGGACCACTGTTTTGTATTAACATGCATTGCGGGTCTTGAAATATTGAGTTTTTTTTTTATAGAATTCTAAAAAAAAGTGTCTCTTCTTGTTATGTTGGTTGCTGACCCCTGATTTAGAGCATTTGGCCGTTATAAATGTCAAAATGTGAGACTTTGTGTGAATGGCGCTATATAAAAATGAGTTTTACTTACACTTTGTTGAGCTCTCATTTGTGGCCAGGTTGCTTCTCAACAAGAGCTATATAGCTTAGTGCGCCTTACCTGTTCAACTTGCCGTGTTAGATTCAATAATGCAGTGGTTATAAAGCAGTGGGTTTGGTGTTACTTAACTTGTTGTGAGAAAAACACACATACTGTATATGATTTTGACAATCAGCATACATTCGATCTATCCGATTACATTTCACGATAGCCGATTACAGAATCGTACACGCCATCTTTGTTCATCAGTGGTTATAAGAATCATAAAAATAACTCATTATAATCAAAGAGTGAAGCCTTGAAATTAGAGGGACTGTCATTAATTTGGGGGCTGGGTGACAGGAAATGATGCAAGATTATATTAGGAAACTGCTTAAAAATGCACCTCAATGTAATTTAGAATATCATTGTAGAGGGTTATATTTTCCTATAAATTGCATTTGTGGCCTCCATAGTTTATTTTGGTACGAATCTAAAGTCCAATTAAGAACATGGCTGAATCAAAATGGTTGGCAATCTCTGGATCAGTACTGTACATATTATGTGTTATTATAAAACCTCAACTTAATTTAAAATACATACATTTGAGTAGATAAGTTTCAGTAACATTGTTGATCATTATTTATGGCGTGATGTCAATCCACTCATGGATGAATGCCTCCCTATGTCGTGTTGGTCACGGGGGCTGTTTGACCATACTTCACCACACTGGTCATTATTGATTAGTAAAGTTGGGGTGGTGGGGGGGGGACCCAGCACCGGTTCAGATTGCACTCTCTGCTGATGTTAGCTGTTTGCTGGGAATAGAACTCGGGTCACGAAGTTCAGCACACAGTTTTCAAACCATTCCACCAGCACTCCCCTGCCCATCATATTCATGAGAAAATATGTTTAAAAGATAAAGTGCAGTACTCCTTCAAAATGAATATATGAAATGTATAATGCTTTTTCAGTCTGATAAGATACATGTGTTTCATATTTCTGACTGCATTACGATGAGATATTTCTTCTAAATAGGCCGCGTGTGTGGGGCACATACTTGCAAGTTGAAATATACTTTTGTTTCTGGCACAGAAACCTATAATCATTTGCATAATGATCTCATGTCATTCTGTTTTATACTTCCAAACATATAACAGCATATATTTGTGTATATATGCCTATCCGTTTGACAGAAGTCTTTATTTATCCGGAAGAGATCCCGTAGGTGAAAATAATAATAAAATAAAATTATGTTGTTGTTTTTTTCACTTTTTTATTTTATTATTTTCACCTACGTGACTTTACCGAAAGAACGACATTTTTGTTCTTACAGCTACACGGCAACAACACTCCCGGGGGAGAACACTCTACGAGCATGGCACTGTGCCCTAAACTATTTGCACACCTAAGGTTGTTCAGGTTTATGTGCGTTATCTCATCCGCAGTCGACACTTGCCATGGCCAGCGAGCAGACGGCCCGCTATATATGGGGCGGTGTTTGCTCTGTGTTTAGTGGTTCCAGACATGACTTGTCTGCGACTGGCCTAAGTTACATTCCCAAAGCGACTTGCCTGACATCCGTGTCTCGGTGCCCTGATCACGAGTTCTGAGCAACACGTGTGTGTACGTGTGTATGCGTGGCCAAATGTGGCTTCTGCTTCTCGCAGCTGTGCCGCTAACTTGTGTTGTTGACACACCGTTCATTTTCGGAGGACTTTTTCCTAGACT